TGTTAAAGTCCGGATGTGTCAGTACGGGCGCCGATATCAAACTTTGTTTGAGCTTCTCAAAGGAAACTTTGGCTTCGTCAGTCATCGCAAACTTTTTGATTTTGTATTTTGAGAGGCAGTCGTGCAGCGGTGCTGCAATGGTCGCATAATCCTGAATAAAACGACGGTACCAACCTGACATGCCTAGGAACCGTCGGAGCTGCTTTGGGGTTTTAGGTTCGGGAAAGTCCCTCACAGCTGCCACCTTATTGGCATCCGTCCTTATGCACCCATCACCGACTACGTAGCCGAGATATCGCACCTCTTTATAACAGAACTTACTTTTTTCTATATTTATTGTCAATTTCGCCTCGCGGAAACACCGAGCGACCTTTTCAAGCAAACATATATGAGACGAGAAATCTTCCGAACACACTAACAGATCAAGATAAACAAATACACATTCACGCAACGAAGCAGGTATGACCTTGTCCATCAAGCGACACATGATTTGTGCTACGTTGCACAACCCAAAAGGCATGACTGTGAACTGATATAAAGGTCGACCTGGCACAGTAAACGCCGTATTTTCCCTTGATTTCTTTTCTAATGGAATCTGCCAGAATGCGTCCTTTAGATCAATAGCTGAGATGAACCTGGTATTCTGGAGTCTGCTGAGAATTCCGTCGATATGTGGGAGTGGGTACGCGTCTTTGATCGTCCTCTCATTCACCTTGCGAGCGTCCAAACAGAGACGGTTTTTTGTGCCTTTGATTACCAATGAGACCGGTGAACTCCAACTACTGTTGGACTCCTCAATGACTCCCATACTCAGCATCCGGTCAAGCTCGGAATAGACTAATTTTTGGATAGCGGGCGAAATGGGATAGTGACGCTGTTTTACTGGCACATTCTCGTTAGTTACCTCAATGACGTGTTCTTCTACTTCTGTTCGGCCCAGCCCTAACACCGCAAATGAGGGGAAATGCAACTTCACTCTTTCTAACGCGTTCGTCTGTTCTGCTGTCAGTACATGCTGCACGGCCTCAAATGACAGGTCACCTTCGCCAGACACGAGCTCTGCTACGGTTGGACTATTCACACGCGCACTCACTCCCCTGCTAACAACACTCATACCGCAAGCTTGCCAAAAGTCGACACCTAAGTACACTTCTTGCTGGAGGCCTGGAACAATCAAAAACTCTACGTCCCTTGTGGTATTGTCCCAGAGGACTGGCAACGTTATAACCCCTACTACCGCGGTTTCACCCCCATTCGCAGTTTTAACATTTTGTCCCTTGATTGGCAATATCAGGTCCTCTTTACCACATAGGAGCGCGCTTGAATTCGTCCCCAAGCAGCTTGCACCTGCCCCAGAATCTAGGAGCGCTAGCACTGCATGCCCGCCAATTTTAGTTTTAGCGAAAAACCTGTTGTCTCCTTTCAACGTAACAATTGTCGATACTATCTTGTTGTATATTCTTTTGAAATTCCTCTGCTTTGCCCTCATCTTTTGGATTTTCTTATAATTCCTAGATTTCTTCTTATTCACTATCTTCTCACAAAAAATTCGCCTACGAGCCTCTTCATATTCAAGCTTTCGCTGATGCAAACTTTTCATTTCCCGTTTTACTCCTACTTCTAGCACTTTCTTAACTATATCTGTTTTTTCATTCTTCAATATCTTCATTGCTTTATTTCCGGGTCTCTCTCGACCTGGCAAGAGCTCCCGGAGATCCCCGCCAGCTTGAGGTTTCCCTTATCATTTTTATAAACACAAAAAGACGAATCACTACCACACGCGAAACACACCATATTATGGAACGAGGACTTACACTTAGTTTCTCTCTGGGCCTCCGCCGGGTTCTTCACAAGGTGGTCCACCGGCATGCCGCAGTAGAAACATAACATCAAGTGGAATGGGGAAGGACAAAAGGAGCTCACAGTGGACTTTGACTCGTTAGGACTAACAGACGAAGAGGGATTATCTCTAGGCTGTACTGGTGTGGGCTGCAGAGGTTTCTTCAACTGATTCCTATTAAATGCTTCTACACTAGCTTCTACTTTTATTTCGATGGGTTCCAGATCTATCTCATTTATAACTTTGGGCCTGTTCCTATTTTCTTTTATAACCTTCTCTGCTCTTTTGCATTCAGCTTTAAGTTCTGCCAGGGTCTCCATTTTTGTAGCGAATGTCAAGTTTGCCAAATATGGCTTGAGGTTGCCCCTGATAATGCCAACCAGTTCCTTCTCAGGGATTTTTTTTCGAAGTCGGAATGTGAGATTATGAATTTCACCATAAAATTCTTCAAAGTTCTCTTGAGGTTGCTGCTTTCGCTCCATTATCTCACGGATTATTTCATAATCTGACTCGGCGGTCTTGAAGTGGCTCAGCATCTCGGACTTCAGTTCAAAATAACCGAATTCTGGATTCTCTGCATTATCCTCGAGTACCTGCCAATACCACTTCAAGGCCCCGCCGGTCATCAGGCAATGAAAATCCGTGAAAAGTTGGAAAAACGATATGTTGTACTGTTCACGCATTTTCTCTACACGGAATACAAAGCTTTCTATGCTCATGCCCTTATTAGACCCATCGAATTTCACATGCCATTTTTCTAAGTCGATCTTCTTCCATCTTTTATCGTTGCTCGATTGCAAAGAATTTGAGCCTCGCCTTCCATCGTCATTGTCTTGCCCTGCTGCCGACGATCTAATGTTGCTTATCTCCGGGGTGGACGCCATGGCTGGTTGACTAGCGCCTGCTTTCGCAGATGTTTCCACCTCAGTCACGCGGTTGCTAAGGTTGGCTACATTGGCACGCATGTGGTGCACCTCGTTCATACATTGCGCCAACATATCGTTTTGTTGTGCCATCATCGCCATCATCCGGCTCAGGTGCTCTATGCTGGTCGCTGATGAACCAGGTTCGCCACCTGCGGGCCTCGAACCCCCTGCTACCGCGCCACTGGGTGGCAAACTTTCCTCTACCCGTTCTCCTGTCTCTGGCATAGCTAATACCTCTTCAATTTTGCGTGAAAAGCTGATACTATTATCGGTGGTGCTCAATGCAAATTCGTCGGTGACGCGTATATTTGGTGCTTGACGCACGTTTTGATCCTGGATACCGAAAACTCTAGCGGTGCACCTATTTAGATAGTCGGTAGGCAAAAAATCTATTGGGTAAGGTATGCCCGTGCCTATCTGGGTGAATATCGAGCCGACGACCTGGTTTTCTAAAGCCCTGGCTGCACTCCGCATAATCCTACGGTTGGAATCGAAAAGACCTAGTCCTCCAATCAGCCTCTCTTCTTCCTCACTCTCCTCCATTCACTCTATCGCCAATAATTCAAAATTCAAGTAAGGCGCTTTCGTGGCCTCAGGTATGTAATAAAAAAATAAAAATTTGGTAAATCAAAAACTTTGTGGATATTCAATTGCGTAACTCAAAATTATATTCTGAATCAATTCGGCTCACAAGAGAAAACAAAATAAATGGACAAATCGAAATCCTATTTCTATTAAAATTCAAGCAAGGAGCCGTTAATGCGGGAAACCCGTGTAAGATAATTCAAAATAATCAATCGTAAATCAATAAACTTAGAAAAGAAATATGTAGATATGCATATGTATGTTTTAATATGTATGGATGTGTATGGGTACAAATGACAAAAATAAAAGATTGAAATGCACTTAAATTCTACTTTAATCCACTACCAAGGTTACACTTTTACCACTTCAATTCAGTTGGGTAAATACTACAATGGGTATATGACTGCATGAAGATGCTTACGTATTCAGCTATGTATATGCGTAGGTGTGTATATTCAGTGCACATCTACTTCCGCGGACACGTATGTATATCGGCAACACCAAACAAAATTTAGATTAAGTATGTGGATAAATATTTAATTTAGTATACAAGGTTATAATTTATATATATGTATATGTAAATGAAAACGAGGATCATAATTTGGTATTCAGCAATTTTATTTCAAGTTTCGCGTTTGTGAGAAATAGATGTTTAAATCAATTCGCTTTAATTAACTTTATATATGTCTGGCTTTGGTGTGTGGGTGGTGTTGGCTAGGCGTGGTCATTGTGGGGTGTTTGTCGTTATGTCCGCTGTCCGAAGTCAATGTCAGATAATCCCCCATTTACCTGAGTAAATGCATCTATAGTGTTGCACGGCGTTTCTCAAAGCAATAACTCCAGATATGGTTGCAACACTAACCCTTAACCCTATGTAATATTTTCCCCGTTGTAGACCGCCCCACTAACCTCTCATGGACATAGTCTGAACTACATGCACGGTGGCTTAAGTAGTAGGCCTACTCAAAAAACATCACATTGGGCCAATGCAGTCTTCAGATACCACTTCCGGTCGTGTAGGAACTTCCGAAAGGAACTCTGATGGTGCATCAGTCCCCCTTCCCTTCCGTTAATCAAGCACCAATCTATAGAGGTTAACCCAGAAGACGATGCCTTCTTAACCCTAATCAGTCCGAGAAGAAAAGTAACAGGAAAGCAACAACAAAAGTATCAAATGTCTAAACTAAAAGTAAAACTAAAAGGATGAGATAGTTGGTACTAAAATCAATGGTAAAAGAAAACGTCAGTGGGCTATACCGTTGGGCGCCATTGTTATGTCACTACATGGTTGGGTAAGACGAGGCGGCATGCAGGCATGCTTGCAGGCCCAAACTAGCTCGATGGTCGGGGAGGTCCTTCCTACCAGCCTTGCCTTCTAGCAACATGAACAAAATTTGAGTCATGCCTCCCACCCCTTCTACGTGAACTCCACGAAGCCTTGGGCGCCGCTGCGACTCCTCTTCTTTAGCAGCGCCCCCTAAACCTGACAGTCAGTATGTCAATTAGCGGTCAGTCAATGTCCCCTCGGTGTCATTGTCATGCGTCCATACCCCGCGTCCCCTCTGTTGCACTAGCGCAACACCCACACCAAACTAACAACAAATTTAGCCCTCCATATGCTTTTATGTGTCCTTCACCTAGTAAGATATGACAATTGCGAATTCATTTATATGCACTTGGAAGTGTATTATTTCCTTTCCTTTATTTCTAATATTACTAAACTAACAATTCGTACTTACTCTTACTTAATTACACCTATATTAAATATAAGCGCTTTCCGCAAACTAACCATATAACAAAGGAAATAAAATGCAAACCTATTACCAAATAATCCATAAAGAAAAA